GGTGCTGCTGCTGCTGGAGGTGCTGCTGGTGCTGGTGCTGCTGGAGCTGCTGCTGGTGCTGGAGCTGCTGGAGGTGCTGCTGCTACTGGAGGTGCTGCTGGTGCTAGTGCTGCTAGAGCTGCTGGAGGTGCTGGTACTGCTGGCGCTGCTGGAGGTGCTGCTGGTGCTGGTGCTGCTGGAGCTGCTGGAGGTGCTGCTGCGGCTGGCGGTGCTGCTGGTGCTGCTGGAGCTGCTGGAGGTGCTACTGGAGCTGCTGGAGGTGCTGCTGGTACTGGTGCTGCTGGTGCTGGTACTGGTGGAGCTACTGGAGGTGCTGCCGGTGTTGGAGCTGCTGGAGGTGCTGCTGGTGCTGGAGCTGCTGGAGGCACTGCTGCTACTGGCGGTGCTGCTGGAGGTGCTGCTGGTGCTGGAGCTGCTGGATCCGCTGGTCCTGGAGGTGCTCGTACTGGAGGTACTGGAGCTGCAGGGACTGGAGCTACTGAGGGGGTTGGAGCTGGAGTTGCTGAGCGGCCGCGGCCGTACTACGTTCCGCTCCTTCAGCAGGTTCTTGGTCTCCCGCCCTCTATTGGTCCTACTCCTCCCCTACTGAGTCCACCGCCTGTCCAGTCACAGTCACAGTTACAGCCTGCCTCTCCGCTGCCTGGTCCTTCTCCTTACACTACGCCGACGGGTAGTCTTACTGAGCGTCGTGAGCCTGAGTCTCGTCCTCCGTCGCCTGAGTCTAGTCCAGAGTCGCCTGTGTCGCGTCCAGAGTCGCCTGTCCGGGCTGTCCGCGCTGGTCGTCGTGCTCCGCGTCAGCGTCCTCCTCCTGTCCTTGGCACTCACTATATGACCCTGCGTCCTTCCACTGCTCCACAACGCGTCCCTCTGCCGTCTCCTCCTGCGTCCTCTCTTCCTGACGTTGCTGACCCGCCGTCAGACCTTGCTCGTGCTGCCAGTCCTACAGTCACGCGTCTTCTCGCTACTGTTGTCACTGACCCTTCCTTTGAGTCCTCTGCTGCGTCTGCTCTAGTCGCTGAGCTTGTTGACTTTGCTGCCGCCTGTCGTCTAGACTACGCCGCTAGCCTTGTTGCTGAGTCTGAGTCTGTCTGTCCTCCGTCCGTCGGGGGTGAGTGTGCTCTTGGCACGGACGTCCTCGAGGACAGACAGGAGGAGTTTGAGTGCTTTGCTGCTGCTTTACCTCATCTCGTGTCCATGCTGATTGCCCCTGAGGGAGACCCGGATGCACCAGACATCCCGACCCCACGCTCCTACGCAGAGGCGATGGAGGGTGTCTACTCCTCTCAGTGGCAGACAGCCATGGACGCAGAGATGGCTTCCTGGAAGTCCACAGGCACCTACGTCGACGAGGTTCCCCCACCTGGGGCGAACATCGTCAGTGGCATGTGGATTTTCAGGGTGAAGCGGCCGCCGGGTTCTCCGCCTGTCTTCAAGGCGCGTTACGTTGCACGAGGCTTCAGTCAGCGAGAGGGAGTTGACTTCTTCCAGACCTTCTCCCCGACCCCGAAGATGACCACTCTTCGGGTTCTGCTGCACGTCGCTGCTCAGCGTGACTACGAGCTCCACTGCCTTGACTTCAGCACTGCGTTCCTACAGGGCACCCTGCACGAGGAGATCTGGCTGCGCCGCCCACCTGGCTTCACTGGGTCGTTCCCTCCTGGTACCCAGTGGAGCCTCCGGCGGCCAGTCTACAGTCTCCGCCAGGCACCTCGTGAGTGGCACGACACACTGAGGACTACTCTTGCTGCTCTTGGGTTTGCTCCTTCTACTGCTGACCCGTCGCTGTTTCTACGCACCGACACCACTCTGCCGCCGTTCTACGTTCTCGTGTACGTAGACGACTTGGTCTTTGCTACTGCTGACGCTGAGGCACTCGCCCACGTGAAGTCGGAGCTGCAGAAGAGACACACGTGCACAGACCTGGGTGAGCTGACAAGCTATCTTGGCTTGCAGATCACCCGGGACAGAGCACAGCGCACCATCACCTTGACTCAGTCACACATGGTGCAGCAGGTCCTTCAGCGCTTCCGCTTCACGTACTCCTCGCCTCAGCCCACTCCTCTGCCTACCGGTCACTCGCTCTCAGCTCTGCCTTCAAATGAGTCCGTAGAGCCGAGTGGCCCGTATCCAGAGCTTGTGGGCTGCCTCATGTACCTGATGACCTGCACTCGACCTGACCTAGCCTACCCTCTTAGCATCCTAGCACGCTATGTCGCTCCTGGCCGTCACCGGAAGGAGCACATGGATGCAGCTAAGAGGGTGTTGCGCTACTTGTGCAGTACGTCGGGCATGGGGCTTGTGCTTGGAGGACGGCGCGACGTTGTCCTCACTGGACACTCAGACGCTTCTTGGGCTGACGACCAGGCTACTCAGCGGTCGTCTCAGGGTTACACCTTCAGCCTTGGCTCTGGCTCAGTTTCTTGGCGTTCTACACGCTCTTCCTCTGTTCTCAGCTCCAGTTGTGAGGCTGAGATCTACGCCACAGCCATGGCTGCCCAGGAGCTTCGCTGGCTCACCTACCTGCTGACCGACCTGGGAGAGCGGCCTCGTTCTCCTCCAGTGCTGTACGTCGACAACAAGGCCGCCCTTGCCTTGTGTCAGGAGCACAGACTGGAGCACAGAACGAAGCACATAGCTTTGCGCTACTTCCTTGCTCGAGAGCTGTAGCAGCGTGGTCAGCTTCGTCTTTCGTACGTGGCCACTCGGGCCAACACTGCTGATGTGTTCACCAAGGCGCTTCAGCCTTGTGATCATCAGCGTTTCTGTACTGTTCTAGGCCTTGTGCCTACTCTCCCTCACTTGCTCACTTCTTGACTCTGCTTGTACTGTGATCTCTATATATATACCTGCATGCTTGCACTTGTTAGGTTGTGATCACTGTACCTCTTGTTCTATTATCAAACTGCATGTGTATTGGTCTTGTGACCACTTGCTTGTGCTCGGAATTTGTGTGGTATCCTTGAGATCCACCCTGAGCTTGTTTTGCTTTGCTTTGACTGGTCCTGTGACCCCTTGTTCTCCCCCACTTAGCCTATGGGGGTGTGTCAAACATTGTATGTGTTATATTTGTGTAGGCTATTGTGGGTTAGCCTCTAGGGGGTACAGAACTTTAGGTTTGTCATACTTGTACTCTCATTCTGTTGCTACTCATCATTCTCGTTCTCTCTAACTTTCTAACAGCCTAGTTGACACGTGGGGCACCTTCGAAATGCATGGTCCAATGTTGCATGGAGGGATGGGCAAGAAGAGGATGGGGATGGGATGTGCATGGAGGGGGTTGGATCGATCGGAGTGTATGGGACAACTGCTGCATGCATGCATGGGGGTCATGCAAGCGTACCCCATCCCCCATCCCCATCCACCCACACCCCCCACCTGTCATGAGGGCATGCCACGATGTGCGGCGCTGCTCTCTCCATCGCCTCTGCCACCGCCGCTGCTGCTGCGAAGCCCTTGGATCGCACATGCTGTCGCACGGATCGCCACTGCTGCTGCGACCACGCATCCTGCGACAGCTGCGACTGCTGAGGATGCGGCTGCTGTGACAAATCGCAGCGGGATTCAAGCAGCGACGCTTCTTGCGACTGTGCGACGGCGACAAGACCTGCCACGTGTTCAGCGCGGATTGGAAACTCGTGCTGCGACAGCGCGCATCGCAGGCGACCCTCCGGCGACCATCCGAACCATCGCGCATCGTCGCCCAACAGCGTCGCCAGCGGGTCCGCTGCCGTCGCCGGCTGTCGCAACAGCTGCAGGTCGTCGCACGTCGCACGGATGCTCGCCTGCTCCATCTGCAGTCGCTGATAGTCGCGAGAGTCGCCACAAGGTGGAACAGCTTCGCGTGGGCAAGAGAGATTGTGAAGTCTGCGAAATCAACGAAGAGTTGAAAAGCAATTGCTGCGCCTCTGGATAGTTCCCGTGTTTTCCCAGTGGTCTGGTACGCGGCGCGTTACAGAGACTCTCCCACAAGGGAAGATCCTACGCTTCGGACCGCTCAGCTGTCCGGCACACAGCGCGGAGGTGAAAGAGAGCGACAGCGGACGGAAGAGGAGAGTGACAAAGGTGAACAAAGGTCGCTCGTCAGGTAGACATAAATCTCGACCGCTCGCGATTCGTCCAGTGCTCGCAGGGCAGAGCCCACCGTCTGGTGCTAGTAGGCGACGCGAGCTAGTAGCCGTTGTGCCGCAGAAACGAGCGTCTTGTGCTGTAAGGCGAACAGGGGACACTACGAGGGCGTGTTTACATGTGGTAGCTGGTTCCTTTGAGCCGTCGTCACGAACATCCGTAATGAAACCAACGATGATCCCTTCCCACGCGAATTCGCGCTGAACCGAATCAAACTTCAACACCAAATTTCATTTTCGCAACTCAGCTGACCCGGACCACGCTTCGCGAACCCTGCCCAAACGAACTTACATATTCCCCCCGCGCCTTCATTCCCCCGCAGTAACACCACCGCCTGTCCATCTCACCCTCGCGCATCCGCGCCGTTCCGCACCTCTTCCGCACCTCCCCCACGCCTCCCCCGCGCCTCTCCCGCGCGCGTCGCACGAGGGGCTCGCTGCTTCACTCATGCGCCAACGCTGCTAGCCGCTGTTCGCACACCGCTCGCCACCTCGCGTCGCCCGCCTGTCTCGTTACCTGTCGCCCCTCGCCGCGATCTCCCCGTATTCGCCACTTAATTTTTCCCCCTCGCGACACATCTATCGTCCCACCGACCCGACAACCATACCGATCCCCGACGACCCCGAACCTGAGAAGCGACGAGGCCGACGAGCCGCGCTGATCGCAACGACACTGAGATCGGGCCGAGGATCCGAAAGACGCGCGGGTGCCGCGAGTGGCTCAGCGCTCTCGCTTTGCACACAGCAGCGCGGCCGCCGATCCAGCAGCTTCACTCGAAACCATCGTTGTCTCGCCCAGCTCTCCCTCCCACCGGCCATCACAGCACACTTCCTCCCTCCGCCTTTCCACCCCACACAGCACAGCAGCAGCAGCGCATGTCGTTGCATCGCGTCTGTCGCGGGTTTCTGCGCAGATCCCGTGAGTCTAGAAGCACCCATGCGAGAACCGGTCGTGCTGCCGCAGCAGCAGGGCCTTCTGGGACCTTTCACATCCCACCTGCTGAGATAGCGACTGCTGCCAAGCATGGCACGGCGGCCCCGTGGCAAGGCGCAGGCGGGGCAAAGGGCATCCACTGGCCAATCGCAGCAGCGTGTGAGCGCGAGGTGCAGCGTGCGGAGCCCCCTTGGGGTCATGTTTGGGGTCATGGCCACCTCCATTCCTATGCACAAGCACAACTGCAGCAAGTTTTGAGGCGCCTCAAAAGCCATCCCCATCCACAAGCGCAGCCACAGCAAGTGCTGCTCCGCGGCTCACCACTGCTCGCGAGGCACGGGCCAAACCGGGAGACAAGCACCGCACCTCATGCTTCCCACGCCTGGAGCCCCCCTGGGGCCATTCGAGCGACGCCAGCCGTTGATGCTGTGCACGGGATCTCAGCCGTCCGTTTAGCACTACCTCAAAGACCGAGTTTGTGTGCCCAACCGGTGCCGCTGCTGCCTGCCCGGCTGCTGTCGACTGCTGCTGCTGCTGCTGCTGCTGCTGCAGGGACAGGTGAGAGGTGCTGCGTGCTGCGTCCTTCCCTGCCTCCCTCCCTGCCTCCCTCCCTTCCTGCCTGCCTCCCTCCCTGCCTCCCTCCTTCCCTCCCTCCATCTTTCCCTCCATCCCTCCCTCCATCCCTCCATCGCTCCCCCCCTCCCCCCGTTATCATCAGCCCACCTTTTCCACAGACCCTCCGAGCTCATTCTCCCACAGCAGCTCTCCTCCGCACGACCTTGCCCCCCTCCAACGCTCCTCACTTGTAGAATCTTGGGGGCTCTTTGCCTCACGCTGCGCCTCCCAGTGTTTGCCTCACGCTGCGCCTCCCAGTGTTTGCCTCACGCTGCGCCTCCCAGTGTTTGCCTCACGCTGCGCCTCCCAGTGTCTACACCATTCTCTCTTACCATGCCATCCCACCATCCCAGGACAAGCAGTCAATGGCACTGCTGCTGCTTCTGCTGCTGCTTCTGTTGCCACCGCCGCCGCCACTGCTTCTGCTCCTGCTGAGCTGACTCATTCCTTTCCATCCGGTCTTTCCCTTGTCCGTCCCCTTTTCTCCCTTCGTTTTCATCCCGCCTCTCTCACGACCAACACCAGCAGGAGCAGCAGCAGCAACCCCTGGGCCCCCAAAGCGCTCGTGGCTGGCGGTGGCGCTGCTGCTGCTGCCGTGTGCCACTGCCTTTGGCCTCGCTGCCTGGCAGATCCAGCGCTACTTCTGGAAGGTGCGTGGAAGGTTCACTGCAAATACTGTAAGGTTCTTTGAAACTACAGCCTGTTTTTTATTCATGTGTGCAAGAAAGGAAGGCTATCGGCTACCACTGGAAGGAAGCTGCACGGAAGGTTCAATGCAAGTATGTCCTGGCTATTTCACAAGGCCGGCGTGACCCGGGCCCGTCCCAGTCCTGCTGCCATCCCGGCCTGGCCCGCAACGATGCCTGCACGACGCGGCCGTAGGCAGGCCGGTCCGGACCCGGCATGTGCTCACGCCTGATCCGATCTGCACTGCCCTGCATGCCAATCTTGCTGCCGGCGCTTCTTGAGAATCCTCACAGCCCGCCTGCAAGGGGTGCTGCTCGCTCCGTTCCTGGCGCCCCGTGCGCAATCTTGTTGCAGGCGTCTCTTGAGAATCCTCAGAGGTACCCTGCAACGGGGGCTAGTCTGTCTTAAGGGGGCCCGTGCTTATGCATGCCTGGCCTGCATGTCTGTCCATCCCTTGTTGCTCACCCTCCCTCCCGCCCATCCCTCCAGCTGGATCTAGTGGAGCACCGGCAGCAGCGCCTGCAAGCTGCCAGTGCCGCTGCTGGAAGCACTGCTGCTGGCACACGCGCTTGCGAGGTGACTTTTGAGTCGACTCAAAAGTCACCTTGGAAGCACTGCTGGCACACGCGCTTGCCACCGGGGAGGAAGGAAGCCGCCAGGTCCTGCGCGTATCCGCATGCCCGCTTGCTCATCCATCTCTTCCCGACTGTCCTTGCCCTCTGCTGCCCATCCCCCCAGTTGGATCTAGTGGAGCGGCGGCAGCAGCGCCTGCAGGAGCCGCCAGTGCCGCTGCTGGAAGCCCTGCAGGCCCAAGCGCTCGCCACGGGGGAGGAAGCCACACTGCCCCTGCTGCCGCCACCGCCTGCCACATCAGCAGCCGCTGCCGGGCCTCATGGGTCTGATTCGGCAGCAGACGGGTGTGGCTCGGCAGCAGAGGGGCCTGGGTGGGCGGCAGGGGAGTTGGAGTTCAGGCGGGTGGAGTGTGAGGGGCGGTACCACGATGCTCGGTCGCTGTTTGTGGGGCCCCGGGCGCACACAGTGAGGGGCGCGCAGGAGAAAGGGTACTTCCTCGTCACTCCGCTCATCCCTCCCCCTGGCAGGTATGCTCATCCCTCACTCTCCCTCGCCCGTCAGTAAACCACTCCCCTTGCATGCCACCGCTGGCGCACATGGTGAGGGGCGCACAGGAGAAAGGGTACCTTCCTCGTCACGCCGCTCATCCATGCCCCTGGCAGGTGAGTGCTGCCCCCCGCTGGCAGAGATGCGTGTGCTCAGGTAATCCTTATTTCTCGCTGCCAGCAGTTGCAGGAGAGATTTTGTTCTCCCACTTGGCAGGTGAATGATACGCCACACATGTGCAGTGCAGCTCATGTGCTTCCCAGTGACCGTTTCCCGGGTGCACAGGAATAGGCCACAAGGCAAGGCACATGTTGAAACCCCTCTGCCTGCCAGTCACCCCTCTCATTCCCCACTGCTGCTCTCCATGCCCCCATGCCCCCATGCCCCCATGCCCCCATGCCCCCATTCCCCCATTCCCTCCCATTCCCCATTCCTCCCCATTCCCCCATTCCCCCATTCCCCCATTCCCCCATTCCCCCATTCCCCCATTCCCCATGCCCCATTCCCCCATTCCCCCATTCCCCCATTCCCCCATTCCCCCATTCCCCCATTCCCCCATTCCCCCATTCCCCCATTCCCCCATTCCCCCATTCCCCCATTCCCCCATTCCCCCATTCCCCCATTCCCCCATTCCCCCATTCCCCCATTCCCCATTCCCCCATTCCCCCATTCCCCCATTCCCCATTCCCCCATTCCCCATTCCCCCATTCCCCCCCCATTCCCCCATTCCCCCATTCCCCATTCCCCATTCCCCCATTCCCCATTCCCCCATTCCCCCATTCCCCCATTCCCCCATTCCCCCATTCCCCCATTCCCCCATTCCCCCATTCCCCCATTCCCCCATTCCCCCATTCCCCCATTCCCTTCCCCCATTCCCCATTCCCCCATTCCCCCATTCCCCCATTCCCCCATTCCCCCATTCCCCATTCCCCCATTCCCCCATTACCCCCATTCCCCCATTCCCCCATTCCCCCATTCCCCCATTCCCCCATTCCCCCATTCCCCCATTCCCCCATTCCCCCATTCCCCCATTCCCCCATTCCCCCATTCCCCATTCCCCCATTCCCCCATTCCTCCCCCATTCCCCCATTCCCCATTCCCCCATTCCCCCATTCCCCAGTCCCCCATTCCCCATTCCCCCATTCCCCCATTCCCCCATTCCCCCATTCCCCATTCCCCCATTCCCCCATTCCCCCATTCCCCCATTCCCCCATTCCCCCATTCCCCATTCCCCATTCCCCCATTCCCCCATTCCCCATTCCCACATTCCCCCCATTCCCCCATTCCCACCATTCCCCATTCCCCCATTCCCCCATTCCCCATGCCCCCATTCCCCATTCCCCCATTCCCCCATTCCCCCATTCCCCATTCCCCCATTCCCCCATTCCCCCATTCCCCCATTCCCCCATTCCCCCATTCCCCCATTCCCCCATTCCCCCATTCCCCCATTCCCCCATTCCCCCATTCCCCCATTCCCCCATTCCCCCATTCCCCCATTCCCCCATTCCCCCATTCCCCATTCCCCCATTCCCCCATTCCCCATTCCCCCATTCCCCCATTCCCCATTCCCCATTCCCCCATTCCCCCATTCCCCATTCCCCCATTCCCCCATTCCCCCATTCCCCCATTCCCCCATTCCCCCATTCCCCCATTCCCCCATTCCCCCATTCCCCCATTCCCCCATTCCCCCATTCCCCCATTCCCCCATTCCCCATTCCCCCATTCCCCCATTCCCCCATTCCCCCATTCCCCCATTCCCCCATTCCCCCATTCCCCCATTCCCCCATTCCCCCATTCCCCATTCCCCCATTCCCCCATTCCCCCATTCCCCCATTCCCCCATTCCCCCATTCCCCCATGCCCCCATTCCCCCATTCCCCCATTCCCCCATTCCCCCATTCCCCCATTCCCCCATTCCCCCATTCCCCCATTCCCCCATTCCCCCATTCCCCCATTCCCCCATTCCCCCATTCCCCCATTCCCCCATTCCCCATTCCCCCATTCCCCATTCCCCCATTCCCCCATTCCCCCATTCCCCCATTCCCCCATTCCCCCATTCCCCCATTCCCCCATTCCCCATTCCCCCATTCCCCCATTCCCCCATTCCCCCATTCCCCATTCCCCCATTCCCCCATTCCCCCATTCCCCCATTCCCCCATTCCCCCATTCCCCCATTCCCCCATTCCCCCATGCCCCCATTCCCCCATTCCCCCATTCCCCCATTCCCCCATTCCCCCATTCCCCCATTCCCCCATGCCCCCATTCCCCCATTCCCCCATTCCCCCATTCCCCCATTCCCCCATTCCCCCATTCCCCCATTCCCCCATTCCCCCATTCCCCCATTCCCCCATTCCCCCATTCCCCCATTCCCCCATTCCCCCATTCCCCCATTCCCCCATTCCCCCATTCCCCCATTCCCCCATTCCCCATTCCCCCATTCCCCCATTCCCCCATTCCCCCATTCCCCCATTCCCCCATTCCCCCATTCCCCCATTCCCCCATTCCCCCATTCCCCCATTCCCCCATTCCCCCATTCCCCCATTCCCCCATTCCCCCATTCCCCCATTCCCCCATTCCCCCATTCCCCCATTCCCCCATTCCCCCATTCCCCCATTCCCCCATTCCCCCATTCCCCCATTCCCCCATTCCCCCATTCCCCCATTCCCCCATTCCCCCATTCCCCTATCTCCACAGCCCCCTAAGACCACATTTAAACATCCCCTCTCTCCACCTAGCAGTCTGCAGTGCTGGTGAACCGAGGCTGGGTCCCAGAGGCAGGTGTATCTCGCATGTTGAGTGCTCCTCCTGACTCTTCCTTTCCCCACTGCACTCCCCCATCAGCCCATCCCCCCATCGCCTCTTTCCCTTTCCCCCCAACCAGCCAGCAGCCAGCACCAGCAGTGCTGGTGAACAGAGGGTGGGTGTCCGAGGCAGTGATTGAGGCCCCAGTCACTGTCGCCTGCTGCTGTCCCCCATTCCCCCTTTCCCTCTTCCCCCATTCACCCCTTCACCCATGCAGCCAGCAGCCAGCAGTGCTGGTAAACAGGGGGTGGGTGCCCGAGGCAGTGAGGCGAGAGGCAGATGCGTGGATGGCGGGGGAGAGGGCGAGGGGGGCCGCACGCGAGGCGGGTAAGGAGGAGGTTGAGAGCGGTGGCAATGGGACGAGCAGGAGTGGTGGTGGCGGAAGCAGCAGCAGTGGCAGCAGCAGCGGTGGCGTTAGTGTGAAGGGCAGCAGCAGAGGGTGGTTTGGGTCGGGGGGAGGTAAAGGGCGGGCCTCAATCGAAGCAGAGACAGCAGGCAGCGAGGTGAGGCTTGTAGTCAAAAGCAGATCAGAATCAGATCAGAACAGACCAGATCAGATCAGATCAAATCAGGCCAGTTCAGATTATATCATATAAAATCAGATTGAATGAGGTCATCTCAGATCAGTCTGACGAGGGTGACATGGATCATGGTGGAGGGAGCGAGGGTCAGATTCAGAATCAGTGTTGAGAACATAAGATCGCAATTCTCACAAGTGATCCCAGGCACACAGTAGCACCAAATAACTCAGAACATAGGATAGGAGCGGTCATTCACAGACTTGCTCTTCCAGTCCAGTCCCCATCCCCCCTCTTCCACGCCAGTGAGTGTCCCCACAGTGATCCCAACTCGGCCAACCACACCAGTTGGACTGGTCCCAGCCAACCACACCAGTTGAATACAGCCCAACACCCGTCCTGTGATCCGTGTGTCGGGTGTGGTGCGAGCCAGTGAGAAGCCGAACCACCTAGTGCCGCTTAATGTCCCGGAGCACTCAGCAATGGCTGTCTAAATAGCATGTGCTCGTTCTTTCCCCATCTCCTCACTTCCACGCAGCCCAACTCCCCTCCAGTGATCCGTGTGTCCGGTGTGGTGCGAGCCAGTGAGAAGCCAAACCACGCGTGCTGTCTAAGAAATTGCTCTTTCCCTTCCCATCTCCACCGCCCCTCCACGCAGCCCAACGCCCCTCCTGTGATCCGTGTGTCCGGTGTGGTGCGAGCCAGTGAGAAGCCAAACCACGCGTGCTGTCTAAGAAATTGCTCTTTCCCTTCCCATCTCCACCGCCCCTCCACGCAGCCCAACGCCCCTCCTGTGATCCGTGTGTCCGGTGTGGTGCGAGCCAGTGAGAAGCCAAACCACGCGTGCTGTCTAAGAAATTGCTCTTTCCCTTCCCATCTCCACCGCCCCTCCACGCAGCCCAACGCCCCTCCTGTGATCCGTGTGTCCGGTGTGGTGCGAGCCAGTTAGAAGCCAAACCACGCGTGCTGTCTAAGAAATTGCTCTTTCCCTTCCCATCTCCACCGCCCCTCCACGCAGCCCAACGCCCCTCCTGTGATCCGTGTGTCCGGTGTGGTGCGAGCCAGTGAGAAGCCAAACCACGCGTGCTGTCTAAGAAATTGCTCTTTCCCTTCCCATCTCCACCGCCCCTCCACGCAGCCCAACGCCCCTCCTGTGATCCGTGTGTCCGGTGTGGTGCGAGCCAGTGAGAAGCCAAACCACGCGTGCTGTCTAAGAAATTGCTCTTTCCCTTCCCATCTCCACCGCCCCTCCACGCAGCCCAACGCCCCTCCTGTGATCCGTGTGTCCGGTGTGGTGCGAGCCAGTGAGAAGCCAAACCACGCGTGCTGTCTAAGAAATTGCTCTTTCCCTTCCCATCTCCACCGCCCCTCCACGCAGCCCAACGCCCCTCCTGTGATCCGTGTGTCCGGTGTGGTGCGAGCCAGTGAGAAGCCAAACCACGCGTGCTGTCTAAGAAATTGCTCTTTCCCTTCCCATCTCCACCGCCCCTCCACGCAGCCCAACGCCCCTCCTGTGATCCGTGTGTCCGGTGTGGTGCGAGCCAGTGAGAAGCCAAACCACGCGTGCTGTCTAAGAAATTGCTCTTTCCCTTCCCATCTCCACCGCCCCTCCACGCAGCCCAACGCCCCTCCTGTGATCCGTGTGTCCGGTGTGGTGCGAGCCAGTGAGAAGCCAAACCACGCGTGCTGTCTAAGAAATTGCTCTTTCCCTTCCCATCTCCACCGCCCCTCCACGCAGCCCAACGCCCCTCCTGTGATCCGTGTGTCCGGTGTGGTGCGAGCCAGTGAGAAGCCAAACCACGCGTGCTGTCTAAGAAATTGCTCTTTCCCTTCCCATCTCCACCGCCCCTCCACGCAGCCCAACGCCCCTCCTGTGATCCGTGTGTCCGGTGTGGTGCGAGCCAGTGAGAAGCCAAACCACGCGTGCTGTCTAAGAAATTGCTCTTTCCCTTCCCATCTCCACCGCCCCTCCACGCAGCCCAACGCCCCTCCTGTGATCCGTGTGTCCGGTGTGGTGCGAGCCAGTGAGAAGCCAAACCACGCGTGCTGTCTAAGAAATTGCTCTTTCCCTTCCCATCTCCACCGCCCCTCCACGCAGCCCAACGCCCCTCCTGTGATCCGTGTGTCCGGTGTGGTGCGAGCCAGTGAGAAGCCAAACCACGCGTGCTGTCTAAGAAATTGCTCTTTCCCTTCCCATCTCCACCGCCCCTCCACGCAGCCCAACGCCCCTCCTGTGATCCGTGTGTCCGGTGTGGTGCGAGCCAGTGAGAAGCCAAACCACGCGTGCTGTCTAAGAAATTGCTCTTTCCCTTCCCATCTCCACCGCCCCTCCACGCAGCCCAACGCCCCTCCTGTGATCCGTGTGTCCGGTGTGGTGCGAGCCAGTGAGAAGCCAAACCACGCGTGCTGTCTAAGAAATTGCTCTTTCCCTTCCCATCTCCACCGCCCCTCCACGCAGCCCAACGCCCCTCCTGTGATCCGTGTGTCCGGTGTGGTGCGAGCCAGTGAGAAGCCAAACCACGCGTGCTGTCTAAGAAATTGCTCTTTCCCTTCCCATCTCCACCGCCCCTCCACGCAGCCCAACGCCCCTCCTGTGATCCGTGTTTCCGGTGTGGTGCGAGCCAGTGAGAAGCCAAACCACGCGTGCTGTCTAAGAAATTGCTCTTTCCCTTCCCATCTCCACCGCCCCTCCACGCAGCCCAACGCCCCTCCTGTGATCCGTGTGTCCGGTGTGGTGCGAGCCAGTGAGAAGCCAAACCACGCGTGCTGTCTAAGAAATTGCTCTTTCCCTTCCCATCTCCACCGCCCCTCCACGCAGCCCAACGCCCCTCCTGTGATCCGTGTGTCCGGTGTGGTGCGAGCCAGTGAGAAGCCAAACCACGCGTGCTGTCTAAGAAATTGCTCTTTCCCTTCCCATCTCCACCGCCCCTCCACGCAGCCCAACGCCCCTCCTGTGATCCGTGTGTCCGGTGTGGTGCGAGCCAGTGAGAAGCCAAACCACGCGTGCTGTCTAAGAAATTGCTCTTTCCCTTCCCATCTCCACCGCCCCTCCACGCAGCCCAACGCCCCTCCTGTGATCCGTGTGTCCGGTGTGGTGCGAGCCAGTGAGAAGCCAAACCACGCGTGCTGTCTAAGAAATTGCTCTTTCCCTTCCCATCTCCACCGCCCCTCCACGCAGCCCAACGCCCCTCCTGTGATCCGTGTGTCCGGTGTGGTGCGAGCCAGTGAGAAGCCAAACCACGCGTGCTGTCTAAGAAATTGCTCTTTCCCTTCCCATCTCCACCGCCCCTCCACGCAGCCCAACGCCCCTCCTGTGATCCGTGTGTCCGGTGTGGTGCGAGGCAGCGAGAAGCCGAACCACTTTGTGCCGCCCAACGCGCCGGAGCACAGCGAGTGGTTCTGGGTGGACGTGCCTGCCATGGCCCAGGCATGTGGCCTGCCACGTGGCACTCTGCTACTGGACGCCATGAAACCAACCGACGAAGAGGAAGAGGAGAAGGAGCGTACGTCTGGCAGCAGCAACAGCAGCAGCAGCAGCAGCGGGCAGGCGGGTGTGTGCCCTGTGTTTCACAGCGACCCTCGCTTCCCTCGCCCCAAGGACCCGGAGGAGCTCGTGAAGCTGGCAGTCATGCCCACCGACCACATCACCTACGCTGCCACCTGGTGAGTCTTCCGCCGCCACCAAATTATCTATGTCCTGTTATGTTTACTCGTGTGAGTTAGGTACTTCGTTTGATGCTTAGCTTACCGTATATGCTGTACATCAAATTGCTGGCTTCTTTCTTTCCGGGTGGCGTGTAACTTTGCACTCTCTATTGTTTTGTTAATGCCCTGTTATGATCGCTCATCTGAGTTAGGTGCATTTAGTGTTCAGCTTACCTGCCGTACATCAAATTGCTGGTTTCCATCTTCCTGGGTGGTGTGAAATTTTGCACTCTCCATTGTTTTTTGTTTATGTTGCCCTGTTTCCGCTGCTCAGGTTTTCTCTCTTCACAGCCACGTCAGTGATGGCTTACAAGCGCCTTCGAGTCGTGCCTAGGAAGGGGCGCTAAGGCAACAAGGGGAGATTCTTCAACGTCCCTTGTGTGGCACTGGCGTGGCGAAACCTTGTGCACTAGGCAAGGTTTTAGTTACCGGTACCTGCAGAGTGGTCTTACACAAAGTTCAAACACCAACTGTAAGCCCCTAGGTCTCAATTGTAGCGTTTTTTGTTTTCTAACCAGGGCTGGACAACAAGCATGACAATTTTACATGCAAAATTATAATAAATCACACGTCACAACAAACGCCCTTGTTCACTGATTGCCAGGGGTGTAGCAGGGCTGGACAACAAGCATGACAATTTTACATGCAAAATTATAATAAATCACACGTCACAACAAACGCCCTTTGTAGTTGGGAGAAACGTGAACTCTACAGTTGTGATTACCTACCATAAGCAATGTCTGTAACGATTCATTATAATACAACAATTGAAGTGACGCCAGGCCAGCACTGCACAGTCAGAGGAAAGGTCTCTCTATACACAGCTGCAAGCGACACTGGGGCAGCTTGGTTTGACATACATGACATCAGATCAGATCAGATCAAATCAAATCAGAAGGGTGGACAAGGAGTGTCGCTGCCTCTAATGTGTGGAGGACCTTGACTCGGCATTTGTGTAGTCAGCTGTGAGGAGGGAAGCCCACACAGGAGAAAAGGATAGATGGGTTGGGAGGGGAGAATGGCACATGGTGAATGGCGCGTGGTGGACATGGTGAGAAATGGAGATATGGCACAGAGGGACACAGCTGGCGCAGCAAGAGGAAGCGAAAACAAGAGGGCGGTTATGATGACTTGATGGACTGATCAATTGAGCTGCAAGGGTTGGTTGCCCACCATAAAGTAGATGGACTAGATGCATGCATACGGTTGAGGAGGTCGGCATGCACTGAGTGATGGAAGTGAACTTTCAAGCACATGGAAGAAAAACCTCCCATCTCGCCTTGAAGGCCCTCCTATGTTCCCCCAACTCATGCTTTTCAACATTGTCTTGTAGTGCCTTGTCTTCCACACACATCACCACCACGACTACAGGTGTAAAAACGAATACGGTTTTGAATACGGGTTTTTATTCGAATATTTAACGAATAGTAGGCAATTTCGTATTTGGCCGAATAACCCTCTTCTACCGAATCCGAATACGGTTCGAATAGCTGGCTCACAAATACGGTTCGAATACCTGGTTTTGTGTCGAATACGTAAACGAATACGGTTTTTGCCATACACACGACTTTGGGCCATGGTTCTTAATAGCCCTAAGCACCACCGGTGCTTTTATCGCTGATGATTAGAGTGAAACATAAGAGGGGCATACAGATTAAGATAGTCGAATACGTATACGAATATCCGAATATTCGGCTGGCGAATACCGAATATGTCGAATAGTCAATAATCGAATATTAGTCAAATAGCCAGTGGTTTTGAATTCGTTTTTTATTTGCTATTCGTCGAATACCGAATACGAATACAAATATGTTGGTATTCGTTTACACCTTTAACCACGACCAGCCCGCCCTCCCATGTGCTCGTGACTGCAAGATGCTTATCACGGACACACATGCCATGCCCGATGCTTACCTCCAGTGATACACGCATTGGCGAGCAAATTAGCAGAGATCTGAATCCCATTCATCACAGCCTCTCTCACTTTCTCTCTCCTCTCCCACTCCCTCTCTGCCAACCTTCTCTCACCCTCCCTGCCCTGCCCCCTCGTCTCACTGCCAAGCCAACTTGTAGCTCTCCCATCACTGCTGCCTGCTTGAAATCTCCCCCCTTGCCAACCTTTCCCCTGCACTCTCCCAACCTTCTGACCCTCTCTCTGCCCTTTCCCCCCCTCTCTCTGCCACTTTCCCCCCCTCTCTCTGCCACCTTCCCCCTGTCCCTCTGCCACCTTCCCCCCCTCTACTCTCCCAACCTTCCCCACCTCCTCTGCCAAACATTCTAACCCCTTCCTGCCAACCTCCCGCTCTCTCCCAACCTCCCCCACTCTCTCAGCTAAACTCCCCACCACTCTGCCAACCTTCTCTCACCCTATCTACCAACCGTTATTTCCAAGCCTTCTCCCAACCGCTTTGCTGACATTCCCCCCTCCCTGCCCACGTTCTCCTCTATGCCTGCCCTCCCCCCCATCCCTGCCATGCTTCCCTCCAACCCCTCTGCTAACCTCCCCCCGCATCTCCCGACCCTGCCAACCTCCCCTCCTTACCCCTCCATTGGGGATGGTGGTTACCTGAAGAGGCGGCATCATGCCGGACAGTTGGTGCAGCAACGTGATGGGCATGAGAGGCCGCCGCATGAGGACCCACAACGGATGTAGCCCGAACAGCTGTAGCAGCCGTGGCACGAATGGTTGTAGTGGCAGCAGGAGGAGCAGCAAGAGGGTCGGCATGAGGAGCAGTGAGAGGGTCGGCAGGAGGAGCAGCAAGAGGGTCTGCATGAGGAGCAGTGAGAGGGTCGGCAGGAGGAGCAGCAAGAGGGTCTGCATGAGGAGCAGTAAGAAAGTTGGCATGAGGAGCACCAAGAGGGTCGGCACAAGGAGCAGGAAGAGGGTCGGCATGAGGAGCAGCAGCGGGCGCATGACTGCTTGCAGCTGAAGGCACTTCCGTGTTTGATGTTGCAGTTGTAATCTGGCCCTCGGGAAAAGAATGGGAAGGGAAGAGAGAAAGCAAGGGAAGGGAAAACGAGAATAAGAAAAGCCCGATGAGGTCTGATAGCACCGCATTTACAACTGAACACATCTGTCAGCAAGAGTGAGTTGCACTCTATAAAAGGGCAAATGCGAGCTGAGAGCATGCACCACGCACTTACAACCGAACACATCTGAGTACAAGGCATACCTACCAGCAGCTTCAGCAGTGGGCACAAATGCGGAGTCTCAGAGACGTTCTCACAGAAAGGATCTGTGGAAAAATTGGCAACGAAAACGCTGTATGGAAGCAGCACTAGCAGAAAGCTGGAGGTTGGACTCACATGGTTGGCATGGTAACTGATGCCTTCCTCGTCGTGATCCCCATTCTCCATGCTTTGCAGTGTCCCCTCCTCCCTCCCCTCGTCGACGTCCCTTCCCTCCACTGCCATCACTGGTTCTGCTGCAACTGCTCTCGCTCTATCGATGTAATACGTGCTTTCAGCTGAGTAGAAGTGCCCCTGCAAGAGGATTTACGGCCAGGCACACAAGACATGGTTTGAACTCGTTGAGAGGTTTATCGCTGGCGTCCTGTAAAGTCTCCTTACTTTAAAGTGTTCCACCTTCAAAGGTTACGCTACCAAGAAAGAGAAAAGCCATATTACATGAGTTGTTGGCAGGACGCACCTGAGTGCAAGTATATCGAACGGCGATTGGGAACTGCTTGGTGCTTTTGGTGTTGGATTCACTGTTCACATTCAAGTTGGGAAACCTTTCTTCACTGATGTCCCAGACCTGCCAAACAGTTCAGGCAGAATGTCTTCAATTGTTCAAGGGGGAAAGCGAGAAAACCTAGATGGGGAAGATTCAGGTTCTTCTCTTCTTAACAACAGTCTGCTGTGATTTGTCTATTGCGCTGAACAAAATCAGGATTTAGACACACCTTAGAGGAGCAAAAAGGGCAAGACTCGTCTTGCACGAAGGAGCGACCAGTATGTGTATAATACCACCTGATGGCAAGAAAAGGGATATTGGGAGAAGAGAAAAGCAGCAACAAACAATCCTTCTTCAGAAATGAACCATTAATAGTTGCAGATCCCAGACAGAAATCAGGCTGTGGCTCAACGTTTTTTAAGGTCTTCTCTTGGACCAGGAGGGACAAGAACCTACAAGTCACAAGCTCCCTCCGACCCGACACCACCAACCAAGGGCGCCTTAATAACTGATTGACAGGCTGGCTGGTTGGTGTACAAGCCACGCTTGCCATCCCCATACCCCAATTCTCTCGCGCCCCTCCCTCCTCCACTCCCTCTCTTGCCATTACCTGTGGTACCATTGCACCTACCTGCCAGCCTAGCCCTCCAAGTAGCCTTGCCTAGTCCTTGATAGAATTGCACAGCTTACCACGTTTGCTCTGCATGCCTTTTTCGTTCAACGAACAAGACCGTTCTAGAGAAAGCTGAGGAAAACGCAGCAGAGCACTCGAAAGAAAGAGCAAAAACATGAAGCGCGAGTAGAAGCGGTGGCCTTACAAGTCAAGCTTGATGAAAACGTAAAGTCCTTGTTTAAGATGCAAATCATCCTGTCCGTCCCGATGGCAGAAGCACAAAATGGTCAATGCCAGACAATCAAAAGAGACTAAACTTAAAGCGGGCCCATGCAAGCGCATGTGCGGCTTATCACTGTCACGCTCTTGCTCGTCTCCTGGAACTCGCCAACCCCTTCTCACGCCTGGGCACCAGTGGATAAGTCGTGCGAGGGCTCTAAAGTCCACCCCAATTATCTGCTCCAGCATGTGCTGAAAATCTCTGCGCATGCGTGCTTCATACGCCTCGTCGCCTCTCGAAATCACATCCCGGAGTTTGTCCGCGAAGAGCTCAGATAGTTTCTCCCGGCAGTGCTGCTCCCACAGGGACTCCTTTACCATGCGATTAAGTGTCTTTGAAAGGCACGCCATCTGCGCTAATAATACATGAGGCCCTGTTGGCTCTGCGCGGCGCAGAATGGAGTAAAGGAGGTCTCCGGGAAGCGTGTCCATGGCGGATCAAACCTAGCGGACCACGTAATTGATGGGATTGAAGAGTGGCGAATGTAGAGCGACCAACACGCGAATGTTGGATCTACGATTGATGCGAGTCAGAATTACGAGCTGGTACTATGCCGCGATGGTGCGATCTATGGTGTGACGGACTTCTGGATGCCAGCGACGCTCTAATGGGCGTAAGGAGAGCAGGAAAGTGGCAATGGAGTGTCCATTGGTTCGGTAGATCCACGAGCCAGGTTGGGACGTTTCGAATCCAGATGCCGTATATTTTTCCGTGCCTAGCCGTAGTGATTTGGTTCGAATGCCATCAAGGTGACAACGGGATTGCCATGCTGTGAGCGGGCTGGCAGATTGTAGGGGCACAGGAAGCTGCGAGGCGGGAAACCTAATCTCGAGACTACTTCCATTGCTAGTCTCTGGATTCGATCGAAATGACAATGGCTTTGCAACATCGTGAGTGGGCTGACAGTTTCTAGGGCTGGAGAAAGATTCGAGGCGCGAAAGCCAATCTCGGTGTGTTTTCCGTCGTTGGCCTGTGGAATGACGACCGCAGCTAGCGCGAAACCTTTGTGTGACTTTAGCACTTGAGAGTGGAGGGGAGGAGAAACGTTGGGAATTGGAGATCGGAGTTGGGGCAACCACGACGATGTTGTTGAGACGATGCGGTTCAGCTGGATATTTCACGATAAAATACGGTTTTATATTCGTGCACCATAAACGAATGTGGTGCTGGGAACTGGAAGGATGGAGCTAGTCTCTAGAGGGAAACGGTGGAAAATATTCGGTTTAGAACGGTGGTGTAGGCTATAAAGCGGTTTATTGGCATACCCGTATGCAAAGGGCGTGGAACTTCTGAACGGCTTTCGTCAAATTTACTTCGCGAAATTTCTTTCGTTGGTCGCAAGTATGACCCACCCTATCCGTGAGTTACCTCGTTCTCGCGTGGTCCGACGACCTAGTCACTATAGGGTAGTCCAACTATTTCAGTCTCGAATTGCCAAACCTGCTCACACAGCGCATCACACGAGTAGTAGTGGATGCCTTGAACGAGACAAGCGACCGATATCGCGCATCGTCGTGACGATGCTGGCGGCGTTCGCAGCGGAGGTTGTCGTCTTCCATTGCTCCAAATTCTGAGGCGCATCAAAAGGCATAAGCCTCTCAAAGCAAGCGATCGCGTCACACTCGAGTTGTAATAATAAAATCCTCGAAGGAAACAAACGAGCAATCGCGGCGTCTCGTGTAGTACGAACCTCAGGGAAACAAGCGAGCAATCGCACGAGGAGTCACGATGCTGGCGGCGTTCCTCGCGGCGCTCGTCTTCTTCCATTCCTCCGAGTTCCTCCTCGCGCTCTGGTCCACCGGCAAACCCGACCTCCGATGTACGCCGCCTCGCCTCGCCTTCCCCTCGCCTCGCCTCGCCTTCCCGCCATTTCCTCGCCTCACCTCGCATCGCCTCGCCTCGCCTTCGCATCGCCTCGCCTCCCTCGCTTATCGCCCCTTTCTCTTGTCGCTCGCGTCGCCTTCTTCTCTTCCCCGCCAATCCGTCCCCTCTCCTCCGCGTCTCTGGCAAGGGCGCTGATTGCAGGGCGCTGTGTTGACACTTCCATGCGCCTCCCCTCCCCCATCTATCCCGCCAGTGTCATCCTTCCCATCCTTTTTTCACGCCTTATCTCCCGGCCGCCCACCCTCATCCTGCTCCCTTCCCCTCCCCACCGCCCTGCCCCTTTCTGTGGCCCGTGGCGCTTTAGCAGTTGGTGTCTGAGAGTTCTCAAAAACCGCCTGCGATGTTGTGGAGCCCCGCTGGTGGTGGGGGTGGTGTTGCTGCTGGCGGTCTGTTCAGATTTCGCCTTCCCTCCCTTCCCACACACTCTTCCCCCACCGCCATCCCTCTCCACCGCACCCCACCCCCGCTAGCCATGCAATTTTCTTCTTCTCGCGGGAGTATCTCCTCGCCATGTCAGCAGCGCTCACTGAACACGCCCTCGAAACCACCACAAGCGCCGTCCGTTTCCCGTGGCGTGGGTGGGAGGGGCGCTGGTGGTGGCGGTGTGGGGGGTGGTGTTTGTGGTTACGGTCACATAGAATTTCGTTTTTCCTCCCTCCCCACACACCTCTTCCCCCACTCCCATCCCGCACGCCACCCCCGCTAGCCATGCAGCCTTCCTCTTCTCGCGGGAGTATCTGCTCGCCATGTCAGCAGCGCTCACTGAATACGCCCTCGAGACCGCCCTCTTCCCCTCCTTCAAGCGCCGCCTGTGGCCCGTGGCGTGGGTGGGGGGGGCGCTGCTGGTGGCGGGGGAAGCGGTGCGCAAGGCAGCCATGGTGACGGCGGGGCGGAGCTTCACACATGACATTCAGACGGAGAAGCGGCGTGAGCACCGACTGGTCACTCACGGGCTGTACAGGTGGGTGCTGGTTTGGTGATCGGTGTGCTTGTTGTGCCGACTATGTCTCGTGTGTGCTCTGGTGATTGCCTTCCTGTGTGGTGCTCAAAGGCAGCAATGGTGGCGGCGGGAAGGAATTTCACTCACGGCATTCAGACGGAGAAGAGGCGTGAGCACCGGCTGTACAGGTGGGCGCTGGCGGGGTGATTGGGTGATTGAGTGGCCAGTAATGCGTGTGTGTGTGCTGATGTGTCGGCACAGACGCACAAGTGGCGCAACCACTGCCCCGTGGCACAAGAGCAGTACAGGTGGCAGCTGGTAGTTCAGGTGGCAGCTGGTAGTACAGGTGGCAGTTGGTAGTACAGGTGGCAGTTGGTAGTACAGGTGGCAGTTGGTAGTACAGGTGGCAGTTGCTGGTTCAGGTGGCAGCTGGATGGGCGCAACAGCAGTAAAGAAGTTTGCTGGAGTGTTCATGTGGATGTGGGCTCAGTCCTGACTCCTCTTGAAAGGCAGGTTGCCCATGTGGGCAGGTTGCCCATGCGGGCAGGTTGCCCATGCGGGCAGGTTGCCCATGCGGGCAGGTTGCCCATGCGGGCAGGTTGCCCATGCGGGCAGGTTGCCCATGCGGGCAGGTTGCCCATGCGGGCAGGTTGCCCATGCGGGCAGGTTGCCCATGCGGGCAGGTTGCCCATGCGGGCAGGTTGCCCATGCGGGCAGGTTGCCCATGCGGGCAGGTTGCCCATGCGGGCAGGTTGCCCATGCGGGCAGGTTGCCCATGCGGGCAGGTTGCCCATGCGGGCAGGTTGCCCATGCGGGCAGGTTGCCCATGCGGGCAGGTTGCCCATGCGGGCAGGTTGCCCATGCGGGCAGGTTGCCCATGCGGGCAGGTTGCCCATGCGGGCAGGTTGCCCATGCGGGCAGGTTGCCCATGCGGGCAGGTTGCCCATGCGGGCAGGTTGCCCATGCGGGCAGGTTGCCCATGCGGGCAGGTTGCCCATGCGGGCAGGTTGCCCATGCGGGCAGGTTGCCCATGCGGGCAGGTTGCCCATGCGGGCAGGTTGCCCATGCGGGCAGGTTGCCCATGCGGGCAGGTTGCCCATGCGGGCAGGTTGCCCATGCGGCAGGTTGCCCATGCGGGCAGGTTGCCCATGCGGGCAGGTTGCCCATGCGGGCAGGTTGCCCATGCGGGCAGGTTGCCCATGCGGGCAGGTTGCCCATGCGGGCAGGTTGCCCATGCGGGCAGGTTGCCCATGCGGGCAGGTTGCCCATGCGGGCAGGTTGCCCATGCGGGCAGGTTGCCCATGCGGGCAGGTTGCCCATGCGGGCAGGTTGCCCATGCGGGCAGGTTGCCCATGCGGGCAGGTTGCCCATGCGGGCAGGTTGCCCATGCGGGCAGGTTGCCCATGCGGGCAGGTTGCCCATGCGGGCAGGTTGCCCATGCGGGCAGGTTGCCCATGCGGGCAGGTTGCCCATGCGGGCAGGTTGCCCATGCGGGCAGGTTGCCCATGCGGGCAGGTTGCCCATGCGGGCAGGTTGCCCATGCGGGCAGGTTGCCCATGCGGGCAGGTTGCCCATGCGGGCAGGTTGCCCATGCGGGCAGGTTGCCCATGCGGGCAGGTTGCCCATGCGGGCAGGTTGCCCATGCGGGCAGGTTGCCCATGCGGGCAGGTTGCCCATGCGGGCAGGTTGCCCATGCGGGCAGGTTGCCCATGCGGGCAGGTTGCCCATGCGGGCAGGTTGCCCATGCGGGCAGGTTGCCCATGCGGGCAGGTTGCCCATGCGGGCAGGTTGCCCATGCGGGCAGGTTGCCCATGCGGGCAGGTTGCCCATGCGGGCAGGTTGCCCATGCGGGCAGGTTGCCCATGCGGGCAGGTTGCCCATGCGGGCAGGTTGCCCATGCGGGCAGGTTGCCCATGCGGGCAGGTTGCCCATGCGGGCAGGTTGCCCATGCGGGCAGGTTGCCCATGCGGGCAGGTTGCCCATGCGGGCAGGTTGCCCATGCGGGCAGGTTGCCCATGCGGGCAGGTTGCCCATGGGGCAGGTTGCCCATGCGGGCAGGTTGCCCATGGGGCAGGTTGCCCATGTGGGCAGGTTGCCCATGTGGGCAGGTTGCCCATGCGGGCAGGTTGCCCATGCTGGCAGAGTGAACTATTGGGAGGAAAGAGACTCGTTCCTGGGCGTTGAGATGCCTGTTTGCATGGGCGTGTCACTGTGGCTCATCTGCCTGCACCGCCAGCACTGCATGCATGTGTGACCATCCCATGCCCTCTACCCATGTTCCCCACATGCCCATGGCAGGTGGGTGCGCCACACATGCAACAGGACGTGGTTTGTTTGGAGCACCGCCACACAGCTGCTGGATGTGACTACTCCGCCTTTGCCCTCCCCTCATGCTCATGTCCCCGTCTGCCCATGTCCATGTTCCCCACATGCCACATGCCCATAGCAGGTGGGTGAGCCATCCTCGCTACACGGTGTGGTTCATGTGGAGCATATCTGCTTTCGGAAATTCTCAAAAGCGACCATCCCATGCCCTACCCATGCTCTCCACGTGCCCACATGCGCATGGCAGGTGGGTGCGGCATCCGGGCTACACGGGGTGGTTCATGTGGAGCATTGCCACGCAGCTGCTGCTAGTCAACCCCCTCTGCACGCTCGCCTTCGCCCTCGTCTCCTGGCGCTTCTTTGCCGCCCGCATCCCGTGAGTTTTCCTCTTGCGTGTGCACCCTTCATCCCGTGAGTTACTGCCTTGCTTGCGCAGGCATCTTGTGAGTTGCCCGCTTGCTTCTCTAGGCATCCTGTGAGTACCCTGTGGTCACAGAAGGCATTCCGTGAGTAAGCCTGTGGTCACAGAGGGCATTCTGTGAGTTACCCCCTTGCTTGCGCAACCATCCCGTGAGTTACCCCCTTGCTTGCGCAAGCATCCCGTGAGTTACCCCCTTGCTTGCGCAAGCATCCCGTGAGTTACCCCCTTGCTTCTCAGGCATCCCGTGAGTTCCACTGTGTGTGGTAGTGGCATTCCTCGAGTTATAGTTGCAGAGGTACCAGGGGCGGGAGCTGCAGTATTGTAAAGCACCCTCGTCTACTGGTGCTTCGTTGTGAGTGGTGGGAGATGTGAGGGTGCGTTGGCGATGGCACTGATTGATCTTGGATTGACTTTAGAATTCTCGAAAGTCACACAGTGTGACTGCTCAAACTGCTAAAACCCACATTGCTCAAGCAGCTCTACTCACACACTGTGGCACTGACCCTCTCGGTCTTGCCGTTGTCTTTCCTCGTCCACCTCACTCTTTCAACTCCGTTTTCCAATCCCCCCACTACCTTGCCCGTTCCATCCCCTTCCCAGCCTTCAATGCCCCATTCACATTCCATTCCTTCCAGCATTCCCACCCTCATGCTGCACGCCCTCTGCTCTCATGCCTCACCCTCCCCCTACCACTCCTCCCCCTCCCACTGCAGCTACGAGGAGTTCTACCTCCACCAGCTCTTGAGCCTCGAGTATGTGCGATACGCCGCCTCGGTGCCTCTGCTCCCATCCCCCACCCTCCACCTTCCCCCCGGTCCTCCCTCTTTCCCTCCCCCCTCCATGCAGCTACGAGGAGTTTCGTCTGCACCAGTTCTTCGGCATCAAGTACGCACTGCCTCCGTGCCATCCGGCATTCCCTTCAACTCATCACGCTATTTACTCTGCTACCGTGCCCTACCCCCTACCTCCCCCCAGCTAAGAGGAGTTCTACCTGCACCAGTTCTTCCTGCACCAGTTCTACCTGCACCAGTTCTTCCAGCATCCCCTTGTGTCTCTTTGCGCCATGCCCTCTGCCCCCATGCCCCACCCTCTTCTTAATCACACACCCCCCCTTTCCTTCCCCCCTTTTCTCCTCCCCTCCCCCCCCCAGCTACGAGGAGTTCTACCTGCACCAGTTCTTTGGCCTTGAGTATGCGCGGTACGCCGCCTCGGTGCCGTCCGGCATCCCCTTTGTCTCGTGACGCCGGGCCTCCGCTCCCATTCCTTTCCTTGGGAGCAAGTAGCAGCACAGCACAGCACAGCAGAGGACGTCGCAACACAAACAATCCATTCTGGAAAGGCCCTCAACAGCAGTGCAGAGCTCAATCAACCTGAGGGCGCTGCAGAAGGGAATACATGCAGGTCCTTGCTAGAGCTCGGGATGCACCGACTGTGCGATAGCCATGAGCAGCATACCGGTTTGGAGCCGATTGACAGCTGTCTGACTCGGCTTGAGTCTTTTGTCTGAAATATCAGAGTCACCGGTAAGGTTTTGATCAATACAGTGCCACGTTTGAAGTGTAATTGTGCTTTGATGCATGCAACTACAGGGCTGGCTAACCGACGGCATGTTAAGCAAGCAAGCATTTTTTTCCATTGGCGTGCATGTGTAGCGCTCTTGCTCCTTGCGTGGTTTGAGCAGTTTTTTGCCATTCTCTGCTGCACTCTTTCCTTATACCGTACTGTAGCGTAATGGCCGTCGTTTCTTGTAGCTAGCCACCAATTTCGTATCCTTCAACGTATTGTAGAATTTTACCGGTAAGTTGCCAGGCGTTACGAGTGCAATCGAATGAGCGAACGAGGATGACACTAAAGGGGCAGAAGATTGATAATGTGAGCGAAGGCATGAGTGAAAGATGGAAAAGGTAACGCAGTGCTGTGAGCTAGCATATGAAATGTCTCAAACTGTGTTTGTATGTCTGTAGGCTGCAGTGGGGTAGCTTACATAGAGTACAACCTTTTTAGGGTTTCCCTACTTGTACTCTTTCATCATAGTGAACTCATTCCTGCACGTTATTTATGACATGGAATTCAGAGTAGGTCCCTCCGTAGGACCGCTCCGTTAGGGCCCACCGCTAGTTTCGAACTGCCCGAACTGCCCTGCCCGTTCGTTCCTGCCCTGTCCGAACAGCGTCCTCACGCTGCTCTGCCTGCGCTACCCCACGCGCTCTGCCCTGCCCTACGCACTGCCCGCTTGCTGCCCAGCGCGCGACCCGCACGCTGCCCTGCTCGCGCCCTGCTCGCGCTGCCTGCACGCGCGCTGCCTGAGCTCGCCGCGCGCTCTGCCCGCATGCTGCGCCCGCTGCCCGCACGCTGCCTGCCCGCGCGCTGCCTGCACCGCCCGCGCGCTGCATTTGCTGCCCGCGCACCGCACGCCCTGCATGCGCACTGCCCGCAAGCTGCTGGCGCCGCCCGCGCTGCGCCCCTACGGCCCGTGCTGCCCGTGCTCTGCCCGCACAGCCCGCGCGCTGTCCTGCGCCGCCTGCACGCGCCCTGCACACGCTGCAGCTGCTGCTAAGCTGCTGCTGCCGCCCGCGCTGTGCTGCCCTGCCCTGTCCAGCCGCGCCGCCCTGCCCGAGCCGCGCCGCACCGCCCAGCCGAGCCGCGCCACCCTGCCGAACCGCCCAGCTGAGCCGCCCTGCCTAGCTGCCCAGACGAGCTGCTTGTGCTGCCGTACCTATTTGCTACTGCTGCTGTTGCTACTACTGCTGCTGCTGCTGCCACTGCTACTGCCCACTATGGCTACGCTAAATGTCCTTACCTTCGACGCGGAGGGTCGCCCGATTAGGTTTGACTGCTGGCTCGAGGATCTCCAGCTGTACCTGCAGAGCATGGCTAGGGAGGACGTTTCACTGTTAGAGCACACGTCCGGTTCTTGCCTTGCCCCCGAGGAGTCAGCTGATCGTGTTCTTCGTACTCAGTGGCTTACGCGCGACGCTGCCGCCCGCCTTTCTGTCCGCAATGCCCTCCCGCTAGACGAAAGGGTCCATTTTGGCCAGCTTAAGACGGCGAAGGAACTCTATGATGCCGTGGTTGCTCGCTACTCCTCCCCCTCTACTGCTGCCCTAGGCCGTATCATGCTGCCGCGCCGCTTTCAAGCCGGCCTTTCTGACTGGAACCAGCCCCCGATGAACATCACTCTTTACTACCTCGTTACTCGCCTCCCTGACTCCTTCCGCGCCGTTAGGGATCACTTCCTCGCTCTTAACCCCACTGAGATCACGCTTGCCTTGCTGGAGAAGCATCTCCTCGAGGCCGAGACCAGTACTGTCGCTGTAGCTGCCTCTCGTGGAACTCCCCACTCCCTTCTCTTTGAGGGGTGTTCTCCCTCCCTTGTCGCGCCCTCTATTGCTACTGCTGATGCTGTTGACTTCCTTCCTACCGAGGAGGTCGGTGCTGCCTCTGTTCCTAGTGGGAGGCGCCGCAGCGGCAAGGGCAAGGGGGGTAATGGTGGTGGGGGTGGCGCTGGCGGGGGTGGTGGCGGGGGTGGTGGCGGTGGTGGTGGCGGAGGCGGAGGCGGTGGTGGCGGCAGTGGAGGTGGCGGGAGTGGTGGAGGCGGTGGAGTGGGCGGAGGGGGCTCGGGTGGCGGTCGGGGTGGAGGCTACTGGGCGGCGACTGGGAGTGCAGCTCGTGGCGGCGGAGGCACTGGGGGTGGACAGCAACAGCAGCCACGCCAGCAGGAGCCACGCACCCCTCAGGAGCTTCGTGCGTGGGTTGTCCAGCGTGGCTCCTCTAGGGGGAGTGTTCGTTGCCCATACATCAGGCTCTCCGGCCCCAGGATTGGCGAGCCCCGAGGGAAGACTGGGCACACTGAGTACCGTTGCTTCTGCCGTCTCGAGGATGCCTGGCGCACTGAGTACGGAGATGAGCAGGATATCCCCAACTGGTTAGGATTGCTAGGGAAGGGCGTGGATGTGTTTGCTCTTGACTTTGCCAAGATCGATGCTGGACTCTATGCTATGTATGCTGGTTCTGCTAGTGTTGAGGGTGACTGTTACTCGTGTGTGCCGCGCGCTGCTGGTGTAGAGGCTGCTTCTCTAGGTGCTTGTGAGTCTGCTGCCGCGGATACTGCTTCTGCTGAGGCCTTGCACACCTTCACACTTGACTCAGGCGCGTCTCGCTGCTTCTTTCGCGATTGCACCACATTCACAACGCTCACAGCACCTGTCTCAATCGCTCTGGCTGACCCCTCTAGGGGCCCAGTCGTTGCACGAGCCTCCACTGCCCTCCCTTGTCCGGCCCTCCGGCTCTCTCCCGGGTCTCCACCTCCCCTCGTTCTCTACGAACTTGGTGAGTAACGCTGTCCTCCAGGACGAGTTGGTCAGTACCTTTACTCCTCGAGGTGAGCGTGTGAGGATCTGTACGGACTCACGCACTGGCGACCACCTCGCCACGTTCACTCGGAGGCCTGGGTCTAGCCTGTACACACTGACCACTGAGTCTGCACAGGTGGTTGCGCCAGGTCAGGTGGCTGCGTCTGGTCAGTTAGCTGCGTCTTGTTCGTGTTGGCTACTCACGCAACAGACTCTTCTCTGGCACCACCGTCTTGGTCACCCCTCCCTGCTGCGCCTGCGTAGCATGCACTCTCGTCTCCTTGTCTCTGGCCTCCCTAGGTCCCTGCCCCCGCTCCCGCGCTCGCTTGCACCACCGTGCCTTCCTTGCGTCGAGGGGCGGCAGCGTACCGCTCCTCACACCTCCTCGATTCCTCCGACCACTGCTCCTCTGCAGACTCTCCACATAGATGTGTGGGGCCCCGCCCGCGTCCGTGGACAGGACTAGAAGCGCTACTTTCTGCTGGTTGGTGACGACTACACGCGCTACACAGCGGTCTTCCCCTTGCGGAGCAAGGCGGATCACGGCTATTCGTCGCCAGCTAAGCGCGCGGTTTCAGCAGGACCTCCAGGTCCTGCGACTGCACTCTGACAGAACGGTGAGTTTTCCTCCCGCCTCCTTGATGACTTTTGTCGTGCGGAGGGCATCGCCCAGTCGTTCACGCTTCCGGCCTCTCCACAGCATAACAGGATTTCTGAGTGCCGCATTGGCTTGATCATGGAGGTTGCTCGCACCTCCATGATCCGTGCGGCTGCCCCTAATTTTCTGTGGCCGTTTGCGGTCCGATACACCGTGCATCAGCTCAACCTCTGGCCCCGTGTCTCTGTGCCAGAGACCTCGCCTACACTGCGTTGGACGGGGAGGTTGGCGATGCGTCGGCGTTTCGGGTCTGGGGCGCGCTCTCCCTTGTCCGCGATACCACCGTGGGCAAGCTCTCTTCTCGCACTCTCCGCTGCTTCTTCATTGGCTTCCCCACCGACGCCCCGCCCTGGCAGTTTTACCACCCTGCCTCGCCCCGCGTCCTGTCCTCACAGGACGTCACATTTGACGAGTCGGTCTGCTTCTACCGTCTCCACCCGCACGCGTCTTCTCTAGTCCCCCTGCCGCCCCTCTTCCTGGTCCCATATCCCCCCAAGGTAGACCCCCTCCCCCCACAGGGTCCTGCTCTCTCAGGTGTGTCTCAGGTTGACCCACCCCCCTTGGTTGATCCTTTGAAGGTCTCCTCTGACACCTCTGGCCCAGCTGAGGGGGGTGACCCCGCTGCTGACGACACGGCGGCCACTCGCCGCTCCCCGCACTTGGAGACCCCTCCTGGTTTTGCGCCTCGGCCGTCTTCGCCGCATCCGTAGCCTGTTGCTGTAGACTCTGGTGCTGCTGAGGGTGGTGACACTGGGGGTGCGGACTCTCGAGGTGCTGGTCCTGGGGTTGCTGACTCTAGGGGTACTGAGTCTGGGGGTGCCGGTTCTGGGGGCGCTGTGAGCCCTAGTGGTGGTGGGGTCGTGGGTGCTCCTGCTGGAGGTTCTGGCGTTGGACAGCAGCAGCAGTCTCGTCGACAGGAGACCCTCTTGCCGCAGCAGCTTCGCGACTGGGTTGTTCGACGAGGCCGCTCTGGTCCTGGCGCTTGGAGTACTGGTGCTGGAGGTGCTGGAGGTACTGGAGCTGCTGGTGCTGTAGGTGCTGGAGCTGCTGGTGCTGGAGGTGCTGGAGCTGGAGGTGCTAGAGGTACTGGAACTAGAGGTTTTGGAGGTACTGGAGCTGTTGGTGCTGGGGGTGCTGGAGTTGGAGGTGCTAGAGGTTCTGGAGCTGGAGGTGCTGGAGGTACTGGAGCTGCTGGTGCCGGAGGTACTGGAGCTACTGGTGCTAGGGGTGC